GCGCGACCCTGATGGACACAGATGTGCTGGCAGAAGCCTCTAATGCAGAAGGGTTGTGGTGAAAGCAATCCAAGGGAAGCATGGAATAGGCTACAGCTGTGACAATGCATTTGTTAGCTGAGCAAAGGCCCTGCGAGCAGGATTTCGCTGGATTTGTGTTTTAGTCTCAGTAGAGCGTTTTGTGAACTGCTTCCTCTGCTGGCAGCACAGGTGAGGAAATGGTTTGAGACCATCCTTACCCTACCTGCTGGCCATGGGCTCTGCTGGTGTCTCCTGGCCACTTGCTGTGAGCCTGCTCTGCTGGCCTAGCCCTTGGCAGCCCAGAGGAGAAGGAGTCAATCTCTGGACTGGTGAGACATTGCTCTGTTCAACACAGCATCAGCCAGGGCCAGCTCGTGCAGCTGCACCTGAGGTGGAGCCTCCCAGCACCGAGACCCCTTTCCAGGGACCTGGTGGCAGGCACCTTGCAGAGGGATCTGGGGCAGAGGACACAGCTCACATTGTGTGTCCAGCAGTTGGCTCTGCAGGGCCACCGAAGGAAAAATAGATGTCTTGCCCTCAAAGATGCATCCTCTTGGTGACTCTGCCCTTTTGTCTTGTCTCTCTTCCCTGTGCACTAAGGTTCATTCACAGAAATAAGGGACTCTGGAAGCCTCAAGTCCAACTGACCTCCTGCTCACAGCAGGACCAAGTTGTTCAGGGTTGAGTTTTGAGGACTTCCAGGGCCAGGCAGTCCGTGGCCTGTTCCCAGGCTGTGGCATTCTCCTCTGGAGAGCCACCTGCTGTGCCTGCAGCTTCTCTCTCCAGCTGTCTGTAGCTGCTTGTGTGATGTGCCAGGACTTGGTGTCAGGTCGTCTCTGTCCTGCAGCATTTGGGCAACAGGTAGATCTGGAGGCCATCTGTCTTTTTTCCACTTCCAGATCTTTTATTTCTTTTAATCAGTGTCTCAATATCCCTAAGGCAGTTTCAACATACACTGCTGTACAGAACATACACTGCCATACGCCTCCAAGCCTTTTTTGTTGTGCTTGAGATAGTATTGCCAAAGCTTTTTTTATGCTCTCACCCCTTTCTCCTGCATTTAACACTATTTGGGCAGCTGTTGTCATGTGGTGAGGGGTGAGCCTTGAAAGAAACATTGCTTATTCATGCTACAGACACAAAGCTGGATCTTGAAGCTAAATTGCTCTGCAGATACCAGGCCTTGCTGCTGTGCCTGTACCTGGGCTTGTTACTCCTTTCTCTGTTGCAAAGCCTTGACACTTTGTGCTTGGGGGGGAATCCTGGTCTTAACAAGAGGATGTGAGAGGATCCAAGCAGCTTCAAACTGCTGCCAGGCTGGCATTCTGGATGGATGAGCACGCTCCTGGTGGTTGTCTTAGAGTTTGCTGCTCGCACAGAGGTCTTGGGGTAGCAGCAAGTACTGCTGAGACTGAGGAATGTTGTCAGGTACATTTGAAGCGTGGCAGGGACTCTCCTGGTAAACCTAATTCCAGTCAATTCTGCCAGATTTCTGAAATTTGCGCTTTCTTGAAGCTGAGCTGAAGCTTCTGGCATGCAAGCTCAAAATCTAGTTTGGTCATTCCTGCCTCTGAGGAATTAATAGGACACTTGTGGTTGCTGTTCTGCAGCACCATCTGCCCTGTGCTGGAGGATTTGGGCTTTCTGAATTTTGGGTGACTGCTGTAATGTGTTTGAGGCTTGCAGTGTGAGCTGATGCTCCTGCTGTGGCAAATGTAATGTTGGTCTTGGTCCCTTCTGGCTCTGTGGGAGTGTTAGAAAACGATTGCTGGAGTCTTGAGCTGCTGGTGATATTCTGGGAAGGCCCTTATTTTCCCCATGTGCCGGTTCCTGTTGTGTAGACAGTACCAGGCAGAATAGGTTTATCACTGGAAGGTGTTCTCTGAGCCATGGTTGATTGATTAAGCACTGGGATTCTTGCATTACTGTGTCAGATTTTTTTAAAAAGAAATTATTTTAAACATCTCAGCCCTTCCAGTAACTGTCATCAAGTGTAGACAGTAGCCAAGAACGAGACAGGAATGGTCTAACATGGCAGTGTGTGCAAGTAGCACTGTACTGAATATCAGCCAGTGGGCTTTGTGCTCTTTGAAGGCTGAATTTGGGCTGCAGGGTGGGAGCTCAGAGAGCTGCCTCTCCAAAACCAAAATCCTTCCTTCTCCTTCCTGGGGAACTTGAACTGCACTGAAACCTTGTCCTCAGCAGTGTCCTTAGTTTAATGGCGATTCTTCATAAATCCATTCGCTTTAAGATGATTTAAACAATCTGTGATAAAGGTTTGCAGTGCTTGAATTTAGAAAGCTGTCAACTGTCCACATAAGCTCAGCAGTAAAATTGGCTTTTGCCATGTTTATCACTCAAGGTACAATACTGTTAATGAAGATATGTTGACTGAAACCATGCTGGTAGGACATTATATCATTTTCTTAATATTTTATTGCTAGAACTGTGTATTGACACTGTTGGGGTTTTTTTGAGAAATACTAGATTGGGTGTTACTGTTTATTCAAAAATTTGGCACAAAACATAGGGGCTTCCTCAAGAGCTCTGCTGAGGTCTTGCAGAGCTCATTGGTAGGAAGTGGCTGAAATGTTAATGTAAGTGTCTGAATTTTTGGAGTTATTAGTTAATTCTTTTTGTATTCCAAATGATGTCTAATAATGAAAAAGATAAATCTTTCAGCCTTCAAAAGTAGTGAAAATCTGAATCCATATCCATGAACAGAAGTCCAGGACAGGTCCCCAAGCAGTTGCTGTTCCTTTGCTAAAGGAAAGCAGTAACTGCATGGCTGTGCTTTTTTTTTTTGTGGGCAGTAAAGACTTCTCAGGTATTCACTTCATTGTGAGGGAGTGGCAACAGTATTTTTTTATACAATCTGGTCTTAATTAAATGTTTGCTGGTAGATCCACATTTCTGTAGGTAGGCCACGTGATCCCTTGCTAACCTGAGGACACTGAGATGTGGAAGATCCGTGCAGTTCCACCTCCACTGAGGTCTTTAACGAGCTGGATAAAGTCCCAGGTAGTCACTTGGTGTGCTTGGGTGTCTTTGGAAGCTCCTGCAGCTCCTTGGGAAGTGCTGTGCTCCAGGCTGGTGTGCAAGGGGCTTTGCTCCTTTAACTTGTTCCCTTCCCAGGGATATATCTGTTACTGAATGCTCCAGAGAGGTGCTGAGTGCTAAGTAAGGAGTTTCCAAATGGCCAGCGGAGCAGTTGGATCTGCTGTCATGTGCAGGGTTTCAGCAGGCTGCTCCTCCTTGCTTGGCCAGGTCGTGCTCCAGTGTACCCTCCTCACTGCCAGGTATGTGGCTGGAAAAGAGGAAGATTTCAAGCAGACCAATGAGCAAACCCCAGTGACTGAGCTGGTCCTGGAATAAAAAAGATGATGACTTGTGGTGGATCGTTTCAGCATCTGCCAAAAACAATAAGCTGTTCTGCTTCTGTTGTAAAAAGTGAGGAAAGACTTTAGCAGAAGAGAAGTGCACGCTCTGTTTTTGCAGCTCAACTCGCTGTGAAGCTCAGCAGAAAGCCCAGATGAATCTCAGTGCCTGGGGCAGGCAGAAGCAGAGCTCCTTACCTTGCTGCAGCTGAGCAGCTCTCGTTTCTTCAGGTTGAGTTTGACTTTGGAGCAACTCACAGAACTGGAAAGCATCTTTTTCTCCTGTTCTGAGGGTCACCCTCTTCATCCTCATCAGCTGATAGTTGAAACAATTCATTGTCAGGAACATTCCTTGCTTTCCCACTCAGACTGTTTGTCAGCATCACGTCTGGTCCAGCCTCAACTCTTAACTCCATCAGTTCTGCAGATTCTCATAAATACACCACGAGTTAGCATTCATCTGCCCTGGACTGCCTTGGAGCTCTGCTGCAGCAGGTTGAAAACAAACAAAAGGAGAATACTTTTAAAAACTAAATGTTAAGATGCAGAAAATAGAGCAAGAGAGTGGTCTTAGAGCAGAGCGAGGGGTCTGCAGAAAGGTCTGCCTGTTCCAGCCACATTCCAATAATTTGGAGTTGCTTTTTTTTTTTTTTTGTCTGAGGTGATTTTGAGGAGTATGTTAGCCCTGGTAGGTACACCTATAAATAAACTTTCTTTATTTATCTGGGTGGCTTGTCATGTTTTTGTTTATTGTTTTAGGGTCTGCTGTCTGTCTGGGGGACATCTTTGAGCAGGAGGCATTGTTTGTATTCTGAGCAGCAGAAAAAAAAATGTGTTTATCATCTTGGGAGGGTTCTCATTTGCTTCGAATCCTTAGGACCTTTCTTTCAGATGTCTTTGTTTCTATTTCACTTTGTTCTTCTTTCTGTCAGCCACCCTAAAACAGGTATTAGATCTTGTAGTGCTCTGGAATTGGCTCATTCTAGAAGCTTTGTCTACTCTTGTAACTAAAAGTAAACAAAATCACCAAAGCCTTTAAGTGATGAAACTTGCTGAGCATCTCTGAGATTACATTTGCTGTAGTTTCTGTTTGTGACTGTGGGAGCAGTGCTTATCTGCCCCCAGGAAACAGAAAACTTCAGTGTGTTTTCAGATAAAATAAGGAAGCGGTGGCTTTGAAATCCAGATGTTGGGTATGATTTCGCTGAACTGCTTGAGTGAGGTTCAGAAGCTGGGGACGTTCTTTGTCTGAATATGTCCTGTTTAGTGCTGAGCAAACCATTTGTGAGTGAGACTTGGTTATCATTTCAGACCAGAGGATATGAAGAAAGTATTAAACAGCTGTCACCAGTGAAATTATTTCAGGCTTCATCCTTCGTAGATATAGAAGAGTTATGCCCATAGTAAGCTCCAGTTGACAGGAATACTGAATTTCTGGTTCAGGGCTTAAAACAGTGCCAAATTTTGAATTAGAGTTGCTCTGACAGGGAGGGGTAAGTTGATGCCTCATTTTTTGATTCCAGTGCCTTTCTTGTAGTGTCTACCTACAGCCTGTTTTGGGGACATGGCGCTACTTGAAGTCTTATCTGCCTTACCACTTGCAAACTGCAGCTCCTACTCCCTTTCCCTCTTCAGGTTTGTCAACCATCCTCTCTTTGTGGGGGTACAGTTTATTTTTAGACACCATTACTTGTCTCATCTCAAAGCCTTGACCTTTCTGTCCTGTGATAATGCTGCCCACGAGGAGCTGGGCTGCAGCTTTGCCTCTGAGGCTGCCAGTCTGCACCACACCTTCCTGCTCCAGTGCACTGTCTGTGCCCTGCAAAGTCACACTGGTCTTTTCTCCTGACTCTGCATTGCGTGCCTGTGTCTACCTTCGCTACTTGTTCTTCTTGTGACTGCTTTTCATGTCAGACTTTCTTCTTGCCACTCTCCAGAACTCCTCCTTAGTTCTAACTTAAGCTTTTCCAATTGTTCTGTGCCTGAATATTAGCCCACGTAGTTTTGGGGCTATGCAGCAGCTGGAGCTGTGCTGTAACATTGTTTTTATCTGTCCTCTGACAAAATTAATGCATCTTGTCATCCTCTATCTTGTTGAGGCACAGGCTGTGGGGCTTTATTTCTACCTCTATTTAAGAGAGGTTTAAGAGAAAAGATATTTTAAAACCAAAAGATGTGTTAGCTCTGTGAGAACAGATGAGGAGAAAGGACAGACAGGTTATTTGGACAGAGAGGAAGTCGGTGATGGAGGTATCAGACACCATGGAACAACTGTGTGGAGCCTCCTGAATTGCCACTCAAGTCATTTCTGATCCCCCCTCCCCGTGTCACTGAGCATTAACAAGTCTGTTTGCCATGCTCTGGTGAGGTGTGTGAGGGCTGTAGAGTTCCCAGAAGTCTGCTCTGTTGGACTGCTGGGTCCTGCTGCTGTTTGGCTGTAGATTTTTGTACCCTCACAAGCAGAAGGGACCTGCTGGTGTCTGGTGTCCTGGTCATGGCTGGCAGCACTCCTGGGCCTTACACCAGCAGTGTTCAGAGGAGTGGACAGTTCATGTGCTTTGTTAAACCGCTTTTCGTTAACTTGCAAGTCTTTCTCTCATTTCCAGTTGCCATCTTCTAAATGGATTCCAGTGAATTTTCAGGATCTCTGGACCCCCTGTCCTTGCCTGACAAACCGCTTATTGGAGATCTCCCTGCTGACATGGAGTTTGGTGAAGATCTCCTGGGCTCCCAAACAGCTTCCACCCAGGAAGCTTCAGTTCTTCAGCCCCCTGGCTGGGATCAATCCAAGCAGATGGCTGCAGGTGGGGACTTGGACCTTCTAGTGAAAGCAGACAGCCTTTCTGAACTAAATAAATCAAATGACCGCGTTCTAGATAAACCTAATGTCTTGGATATGCTGGAGAAACCTGATGTCTTAGGTGACTTGGGTAAAACTGCTGACTTGATGGAGCAGGATAAACCTGAGGGTCTGGATGGGCTGTGTAAGGCACAACCTTCCCAGGACGTGGAGGATGGACCTTCAGACTCTTCTGCCCTCTCTAGAGAGGCCCTTGTTCCAGAAGCGTGGAAAGAAAGGGAGGATGCACCAAAAAATTGTTCTGGGGACCTAAAGGAAGGCGGTGCTGCTGCTATTCCTGCACTGCCTGGTGACAAGGCCCCTGAATCACCTCGAAAACCCATTCCTGACTCTGGGAACCTCAGCAGTGCCCCAGCCACGGAAGAAACCACAGCACAGTCCTCGAGTCCAGCAATGCCCCCACCCCAACTCAGTCTTAAACAGACAAAGAAGATGAAGTTGAAAGCACCAAGGAAAAGCTCACCCCTGCAGAGGGAAGGGCTGGCAGGGGAAGCAGAGGTGGAACCGAGCCCAGACAGCAGAACTGCAGCTTTGCCCCCTGAGCCTAAGGAGGAAAACCAGGCAGAGGGAGGGAATGATAACGGGAAAAACTCGCTCAAAGAAAATAGTGTACTCAAAGCACAGGAAGCCTCAGCACCAGCAGGTAAGTTGTTGGCTCAGCAGAACTTGGCTCCCTTTTGCTCAGGAGCTCATCCAGCTGCACATTGCTGAGGCTGGAGTCTGTTCTGCAGTCCAGCTTTTCTCCTCGTCCCCTGCTGTGGAAATTGTCAATGGTACTGATAGTCTAGATTTGAGGGTCATCAGGAGGTGTTTCCCATAGGCCAAGTTCCTCTGCCCAGGCTGACCATCCCCAGGAGATGCTGTCTTGGTTCAGAAGCAGTTGGAGGTAACTGCCCACCCAGCCTGCCTCCCACACGCAGGGAGGTCTCCCCCTCAAGGGCTCCTCCCAAGCTGCATGTTTGGATCTCCAACCACAGATGGTGGGTTTAGGAACCTTCCTGTGTCTGATCAGCACCAGAATTGTACTTGATAGCCAGGACTGACCCAAATGGTGACTGCATTTGGAGAACACCTGTGCTCTTCTGTTGGAGAAAAGCAGGATGTTAGATGACAGCTTTTTCTGTGCTTCTGTTCCAGGAGAAAGCCTGTCTGGGAAGGGGAGCGAGCTGCCAGCTGAGAAGGTGAGGAGAATGCAGTCAAGTATGTATGGTACAGGAGCACAGAGCGTGGCTGGCTGTTGTCAAACTCTGTGAGGGACACTGGCTGTCTCATCACCCCTCTGGGAAGGAGTTTGCGTGTCTCCTGGGATGGAGTGATCCCTGTGCACTGCCACTGTGCTGTAATGTGGCTTCAGCATGTCCCTGCTGCCCTCAGCTCAAGTGTCATTCTCATGAGCCTACTTCCCCCTCTCCTCTGTCTTGCCAGCTCTGGTCAGGTATCCATGGAGTTTTATCCGTTTTCATGGAGTTTTATTCCCTAGCTGTTGGGAAAGCAAATCCCAGAGGTTGGAACTCCACCATGATCTGGGATATTTATCCATGGTTGTCCTAGCAAACAGTTAGCCTAAATATTTTCTGAATGTCTTCTAGGAGCAGAAAAGAAGCGAACGACCCAGAAGATCAGAAACTGCCAGGCCTGAAACTGTGAACTCCTCAGAGAGCAGTAAGTAACTAGGGTTGGTCAGCTCCTGTTTTCAGCCTGAGAGAAGGGCCCAGATCCACTGGGGGCAGGTGGTTCATGGTGTGACTACAGTGGGAACTCTGGAGCTTCCTACCATTCCCTGGTATTTGCATGTTGCTCTTTAATTGCCTGCCTGAGCTGTTCCCTTTAAGGTCTGCTAGCTCTTGGAGGGTTTTCTGCTTTATAAGTTCACACTTTAGGCTTCTGCTCAACCTTGGCATATCATGACTTCCTAAAGAGGAATTGTTCTTAAACCCAGTTTGCCTAAAGACCTCTTAATTCATCTCCAGTTCCAACAGAATTTCTTTGAAGAGTCCCTTTATCACTCCACCCAGACAGGTACAAAGTACATAGAGGGGCTTCAGAAAGGTGACCCAGAAAGTCCCAGCATGTGTCTCATGGCAGAGTTTCTCAGTCCCTAATGAGGGATTTCTGTGCCTCTTCCTCTGCTGCTTTGCAGTTCCAGTGTCTGACGAGGACTCTGATGCCATGGTGGACGATCCCAACGACGAGGATTTCGTTCCTTTCCGCACACGGCGCTCGACCCGCATGTCCTTGCGCACCCAGATGGCCCAGCGAGCCGCCCGCTCCACCTTCACCAAGATGACCTGTGCCAACTGCAGGACCCCCCTGCAGAAGGGCCAAACCGCCTACCAGCGCAAAGGGCTTCCTCAGCTCTTCTGCTCCAGCTCCTGCCTCACCACCTTCTCAAAAAAACCACCTGGCAAGAAGATATGCACCTTCTGCAAAAAGTGTGTGTTCATTCCCCTTTCCTCAGCGCTCCCGTGCTCCTCACCCCCTTCACCTGCTCCACAGCTCTGCCTGCCACTCTCCTTCCTATGACCCTCATTCACCCACATCACTCCTGCCCCCTGCCAGCTCCTGCCCTATGTCTTCCTTCACACTCTGCATCTCCCATGCTCCCTACACCCCCTTCGTGTTATTGCCATTCCCTGCCTGTCCCCAGGCTCAAGGCCCCATATTCCAGCCTCCTCTCAAAACAACCTCCTGCATGCTCCATCTTTAGACACCACTCCTCTGGGCCGGGACAGAAGCTGCTGTGAGACATTTCTTGCCAACTTTTTGGGACACCAGAAAGTCCCGTGCATTGCAGTGGGCCATCCTATCCCTTTGTGGCAGGACTCGAGTGTCCCTGCACTAACACATCCCCCTCCTGATCCCCAGGGAGATCTGGAACACCAAGGACTCTGTGGTTGCCCAGATTGGTTCAGGTGGCTCTTTCCACGAGTTCTGCACCTCTGTCTGCCTTTCCCTCTACGAGGCTCAGCAGCACAGACCAGCACCTCAGTCTGCAGATGCCTCGGACACCAGTCGCTGCAGCGTTTGCCACAAACCTGGCGAGGTAAATAAATCCCTTGTCCTTCCCATGTCCTGGATGAGGTGCTTGGGACCTGCAGTGTTTGGCCCAGCCCGGGACCAGGGCGTTTGCCGGGTTTTCCAGTGATGCGAGGCCTCAGCCCCTGGGCTGTTCTTGGGCTCACGCCCAGGTCTTTTTGTGTTACTGTAGACCAGCCCTTATTTTAGCAGAAGGAAGGAGGCTTCTGCTTCTCCCCACCCTGGAGCTCACTGCTTCCTGCCACTCTGCTCTCCCAGTTGCTCCACTGACTTTTGGCGAGGGAGGCCCCCCTGAGTCCGCACCAGCTTCCAGCGTGGCATTTGCCCAAGTCTTAGTGCGACAGCCTGTTACCCCAAGGGCTGTGGCAGCACTGGTACAGCTGCATTGGAAGGAGGTTGTTTGGGGAGTGACAGCAATGATGTCTCTGCAGATCCAGCACGAGGTCAGCAACGGGAGTGTGGTTCACCGCATCTGCAGTGACGCCTGCTTCACCAAGTTCCGGGCCACCAAGGGGCTGAAGACAAACTGCTGTGACAACTGTGGACTTTATATCTACAACAAGGGCTTGCCCCTGGAGTACCTCTTCCATGAAGGCCAGCAAAAACGCTTTTGCAACTCCACGTGTCTCAACAGTTACAAGAAGGTGTGTGGAGTCAGCTGCCTGGAGTGGGGGGTCTCTGTGGGCACACACATCTCCTTTGCTTGGTGTGGCACAGGGCACTTCACAGGGCAATGACAGGTGATTCAAACGCCCTCGGTCTTTTATTGCTGAGAAAGCATTTAAAAAATTACTATGGGGAAATTTTGAAGCAGGCAAACAGAATGAATTTATTCTGCATTAGACCCATCTTTGACCCAGGCTTGGATCAGGCAGTCAATAAGCTGGACTGTGCAGTGACACTGGTAAATGCAGTTAGCATGATTCTGTTGGGTATGTTCCTCTGTGACCTGAGCAGGCTTCACTTAACTGTCTCCATGGGATTGCCAAGCTCTGTATTCCTGCCAGGCTACCCTTAAAATGAGAAGCTGAAGTGCCAAAGGCAGCCTTTTTTGCTACCACCACCTGAACCTGCAGACTGTGAGCCTGGTTCTGCCATCAGGTGGTCACTGCAGGAGAGCAGTCCTGTGGTGGACCCAGGAGTGGGGTGGGATGTGAGGGTTGGAGCTTGCTGGCTGTGCTGGTCTCCCTGGCAGCTCTGTTTTGCTCTGTGCTTGCAGAAGAACACTCGGGTCTACCCCTGCATGTGGTGCAAGACGCTGTGCAAGAACTTTGACATGCTGCCCAACGTGGATCGCAGTGGCAAGATGGGCCTGTTCTGTTCCATTTGCTGCACTACCTCCCACAAAGTGAAGCAGTCAGGCTTAGTTGGTAAGATTACCTACACGGAGGGAATCAATCAGCTCTCCACTCTGACTCTTTCCTTAGCATGGTTTATTGTTTGTGGATGGGACTGAAAAGAAAATGTGTTGCTTGCCTGGGGAGGAATCCAGTGAGAGCAGGGGAAGGAGATGTGGATACCGAGGAACCCTTGCAGAATGCAGACACCTTAATATGGAGGGTAGTGTACATTGCTGTTCTTGAGAATGCAGGGAGCAGGTGTAGTGCTGGACTGTGCTGGCATTGCCCTTTCCATTACATGGAGTACTGGGGTGTCCAGGAATGGGTAGGGTCTCTGGTGCAAGTAGTTTTGTCCCAAGTCCTATAGATCCAGGGTCACTCCCTTGAACCCCTCTGCTCTCCATCTGTGTTTAACATTTCTGTCCTAGCAGAATCTGGTGCTCTTAGTCTCCTGGTGTTCTTGTCCCTTGCCTTTTGATAGCTTCTCAGACTGAGGATGAGTGAGTAGCTGGCATGCCATCCTCACAATCTCAGTCTCACGTCATTTGCTGCTGCCCTCACCAATTCCTGTCTGTTTCTTCAGGTCCCCCTAGACCCTGCAGCTTCTGCAGAAAGAGTTTATCTGAACCCTGCTATTACAACAAGACAGACCGGGTTGTCTATCAGTTCTGCAGTCCCAGCTGCTGGACCAAATTCCAGGTACTGAAATATCCTTCGTGCTGGGCTGGGCCACAGAGCTCACTCCTCCTTTCCCACTTAGCAGAGGCTCCACCTTCCTTGAGCTCCTCAGGGAGGGTTCCTAAGAAAGTCTCTGTGGAACACAAGAGTTGCAGTGACTGTGATTGCTCATATCTCAGTCTTGGCCCCATCATCCTCTCCCTCCACTGGGATGAGGCAGGTTGTAATCCACTCCTGTCTGTCAGGTTATGCCCAGTGCAAAGGCAGTGCAGAGCTGTGCTGCGTGAGTGGTTTGGGATGTGGTGGCCTTACAAGAGCATGAGCAAAAGCACAAGTAAGCCAGCAAAGCACAGTGCACACCTGCTAGCTGGGTGGAAAGGGGCAGAGCTCCCCTCTGAGTCAGGTGTCACCAAGAAATGTGAGCCTTCTAGAACGTATTGTCTGAAAACTTAGAACCAGCAGGCCTGAATACCTCATGTTTGATAATCCTCGAAGGCTTTACTGGTGGTTTTTAATCTTCTGACGTTAAGTTTCAGCATGTGTGTGAAATGTCTGTGGTATTCATAGGCAAATTTAAGGTTATTAGTTTTGTACAGTTGTCAAAGAACAAAATAACAGCCAGGAAGACCTGGGAAACTTAGGCCAGGATGTGTGAAGCGCAACTGAGAAAATGTAGAGAATCTAGAGGTAAGTGGTAGTTACTGGCAGTTGCAGCATTTGGGTTTTGGATTATTTTATTTTTATTTGATTGTGGGGTTTTTTTGGTTGGTGGGGGGTGATTTTTTTTGTTGTTTGGGGTTTTTTTTTGGGGGGGAGGGGTTTTTGGTGTTCTTTTATGCATCCTTGATGTAATCCTTCACTGAGGTCACAAATAGTGTGGGTAGTGTAGCAGTAGAGTTTTTACAGTTGTAGACTTCATAAGAGTAGAATTATAGAATGGTTTCTGTTGAAAGAGACCTTTAAATGTCATCTAGTCCAGCCCCTGCAGTAAGCAGGTACACCTTCAACTAGGTCAGGTTCCTCAGGGCCCTGTCCAACCTGACCTTTTAAATATTTATAAGGATGGGGCATCTACCACCTCTCTGGGCAACCTGTGCCAGTGTTTCACCATCCTCATTGTGAAAAACTTCTTTATAGATAATCTAAATCTACTCTCTTTTAGTTTAAAACTATTACCCCTTGTGCTATTGCAACAGGCTCTGCTAAAAATAGTTGCAATGTTTCCCTTTTTCCAGTTACCTGAGACTTCACCAAGTCACCTAACTTGAATTATTGCCATGTAAACCCAGCACTGTACCATATGAGTGAACCAAGGCATAACCTGGATTAGGAACTGTCAGAACACACTTGTCAAACTAAAACAGCTGAATCTTCCCAGATGGTTTCTTGGGGATCAGTGTTAAGCTTGGCCTAGTACTGATCAACGGAGTTCAACGTCTTCATCAGTCATTTGGCGATAAAGTCAAAGTAAACATAGTAAAATGTTGCAGATGAAGCAAAACCTGGTGACCTTAGCCCACGCTGAAGCCAAGGCAGTCACAGAAAGCAAAGCGATTGGATTGATTGACAAGGCTGGTTCCTCCTCCTAATCTGTGCTTAAATACAATTCAGTGCAAGATCCTGTGTCAACCTTACTCAAGTAGTGTGGGGATGCACGTCCTGGGAAAGTAAGGGCTTTGAAAAGACCTTGGGATTACAGCAGATAAGCTGTTCAGTGTGAGTGTCTCAGTTTACAGCCACAGAGGGAAGGATTAATTAAGTTCTTGCAAGCACAAGCAGAAGAACATGGAGTTAAAGTCTGAGGGCTAGGGAGCAAAAGAGCTACATAGAATGTTGCACAGATAGGACAGATAGGAAGTATTTTCCAGTGTCCACTTTATTTTCAATATGCAGAAAACTTGAAAGTATCCTGAAAAAAAAAAAAAACACACCATAAAAATTGCATTTGGGCTTGAAAAATGCTTATACTAAGACACTTGCAGAATGCCTTAGCTGAGTTATCAGAAAGAAAACCAGGAAGATGACTTTATTAATAAATAGATCCTTTTGGACAAGACACCAGATGCTAAATGGCTGTTTAATCTAGCAGAAGGTGGAATGAGAAAGGCTGTTTGAATTCTGAAACCTTGAAAATAGAAACCAAGCACCTGTCCTTCAGGAGCTTTTAGAGAAGAGGTTGCTGAGCCCCCACCCCTTGATGTTTTCAAATCCAGTCGGTTGGCAGTTTGAAAGCTTGCCCTCCTGAGAAGAGCTGAACCCAGCACACTGGAAGCAAAGTGAAATTGCTGTCAAGAATCTGCTCTTCAGGAGCTTGAGACATGATGTGGTGGACTGGCTGAGTCACCAGTGGTGGCAGCAGGTCTGAGTGGGGCCGGGTGGGCTGCTGTGACCGTGGAGGAGGCAGGCAGTGGTGGCAGTGAGAAGCAGGTGTCCTCTGCCCTCCATGTGGCTCTCCCTCCATACGCTGTCTCCTCTCCTGCAGCGCACCAGTCCAGAAGGTGGGATCCACCTCAACTGCCATTACTGCCACAATCTTTTCAGCGGGAAGCCAGAGATCCTAGACTGGCAGGTGAGGACTTTCCCTGGGGGAGGGGGAATATTGAGTTGGAGGCCAACACTGGGGAGAGCTGCAGGGCTCCTTCCTCTCTCTGCTCAAAGCAGAGCTCCTCCCGTGCCAGCTCTCTGAGAGCCTTGGCTGCAGAGACGTGCCTGGAGACTGTGCCGAGTGCTGCACTCCTGGAGTTCGGTGGGGATGTCGGAAGGGCAGGAGGAGACCACTTCTGCCAAACCCTGTGCCAGCAGAGCTGGGGAGTTGACTCAGCCCTGTAGTCTTTCTCCTGCTTCCTTGAGAAGTGTGGGAACCTCCTGCCAGCCTGGCTGACCTGGCAGCGGTCTCTTTGGCAGGACAAGGTGTATCAGTTCTGCTGCAAGGACTGCTGCGAGGACTTCAAGCGGCTGCGTGGGGTGGTGTCCCAGTGTGAGCACTGCAAGCAGGAGAAGCTGCTGCACGAGAAGATCCGTTTCTCTGGGGTGGAGAAGAACTTCTGCAGCGAAGGTACTTGGGGAAGGCATGGGAAAGGCAGAAACCTCCATGCCAGCCCATGCTGGGGGAGGAGAAGAGAGCATGGAGAGGAACAGAGGGGAGATTGTCTTAGCCAGGCCCTGGGGCAAGAGCCTTGCCGTGCAGTGAAGGGAGGACTGTTGTGGGGATGGCTTGCTGTCCAGCCAGGCCCTAGGGCTAGATCTTTACCGTTCATTGTGTCCTTGGGGAGGGCCTTCTCACAGCTTTTCTCTCTCTGGGGGCTGGGGAGACAGCAGGTGGCAGCTCCGCTCCTCCTGTCATCATGCACTTCTACGCTCTTGCGTCTGGGCTGGCCTGACCTGGCCTTGCCCTGCCTGCTGGGTTCCTGCACACAGGAGGTTGGAGTCAGACTCTTCCTAGAAGCATGGAGGTGAGAGATGGCAAGTCCCCATGAGGTCCCATCTTATCCCAGCCCCAGGGGCCAGTGCTGGATTGTTCCCTACAGTGTGTTGCGTGTGCTCTGTTGTCTCCGCAGACCTGGATTTTGGTCATGTTTGGGTCAGGGAGGCCCCCAGTTCATCCTGGGAAGGTTTCACTCCTATTGTTTCTCCGCAGGGTGTGTGCTTCTTTACAAACAGGATTTCACCAAGAACCTGGGCCTGTGCTGCATCACCTGCACCTACTGTTCTCAGACCTGCCAGCGGGCGGTCACCGAGCAGCTGGAGGGCAGCACCTGGGACTTCTGTAGTGAAGACTGCAAAAGCAAATACTTGCTCTGGTACTTCAAGGTCAGTATTGGCACTGGCAGCTTGTGCTAAGTGCTGTGGTGGGCACGGCACCCAGATAAGTGGGCATTGCACTGAGGAAGTTCACACTGCTGGAGTCTGGCTGGCACTGCTGCGGAGAAGCTGGCACTGCTGGAGTCCTGCCTGGCAATGACGGGACACTGCTACGGGGAAGCTCACGTAGCTGGAGTCCCCAGCTGATCCTGCCAGACAGAGCACTGCCCTGAGGAAGCTCACAGTGCTGGATCCGCGGCTAGTGCTGCTGGGAGAAGTTCGCACCGCTGGAGTCCCTGGCTGGCACTGGCAGGGCACTGCTGTGGGGAGGCTCACAGCACCTTGGCTGTGTGCACCTTTCACTGGAGAGTTGTGTTGCACTCGGAGGGGGTGTGGTTAGTTACTCGTTGTTTCTCTCCTGCTGATGCGGGCTTTAGGCAGCTCGGTGCCATGCCTGCAAGCGTCAGGGGAAGCTGCTGGAAACCATCCACTGGCGGGGGCAAATCAAACACTTCTGCAACCAGCAGTGTCTGCTGCGATTTTACAATCAACAGAACCAGCCCAACCTGGACACGCAGAAGGGGCCCGAGAGCCTGCTGAACAGTGAGTAGGAGGGAGGGAGGGGACCTGCATAGCTCAGTCTGAGAGACACAGGGAAGACTGAACAGCAGGGGGTGGAAGCTTCCTGCCTGGGACTGGAGGAGACGCTAGGGAACAATCCTGCACTGGCCCCTGGGGGGGAAAGGACGGAGTGGGACCTAATGGGCTTCTCCATCTCTAACATCTATGGTTCTATGACACACAGGGCCCAGACGGGAGGAGCCGGTGCCAGCGTGCTGCCTGTAGCTCACACTCTTAGCGAGGATACTCAGGGATTTAACATCCTCAAGTTGCCAGCGGAGAGCTCGATTTACAGGGTTAGGGGACAGCGTGGTTTGGCATGACAATCCACCTGCAGCCCCACACCACCTCCGAGCTGTGACCTTCTCAGATCTCATAAGCTAATCTGGATTGGGCCAGGTCAGTGCTTGGATGGGAAGCATTCAAGGACAAAGAAGGGTGCTGCAGGAAGTGGTGCTGGTGATGCTGTAGGTGGGCTCTCCTCAGCCAGAGCTGAACCTAGAACGGTCTTGAGGGAGCGCTGAGCTGCTGGAGGCACTCTTGTCTTGTGATGTTAGATTGGAGTCCTACCACTTACCCAGAGTTCGCTGCAGCTTTGGGGAGTTGCCACCCCTGTGTCCCAGATAACCCCATTCTGCATCCATGGAGTTCCAGCTGGAGAGGAGATTTTCGCTGCCTGTTGCCCCATTTCCTATCGTTAACTTGAGCCAGTTGCTTATGGAAGATTGCAAAGTGCTTTGGGATCCCTCGGGATGGAAGGTGCTCGTAGTGAGTGACAAGACATCGCTTGGCCCTTGGACTTTTGCACGATCTCATTCTGCTTGGTCTGGCATAGGCCACGATGTCCTTGGTAATCTGTGGGATTTAGTTAAGATGCCTGCAGTTTATGGTGGGACTTGCTTCAGTGCATCAAGCTCCAGCACATCCCTGCACTGCAGGTTCAGGGCTTTGCTGCCTTCCCTGGGATTTCATGAGGTGTAAAACCCTGGCTAGGGTGTGCCAAGGAGGGGAAACCAAGACCGAGGACCTTCACGTGAGAGACCTCATCCTCCATCTCCAGACCCTTCTGACTTCTCTCCTGTGGGCTGATTGTAAGATGGGGGAAGCTCCAGATGTCACTGCTGCTCAGATAGCAAAGCAGAGCTGCTCCTCCAGAAGCAGCAGGTTCTCCTAATTAGGGGAGTCCAAACCTGCCTTCCAAGAGCCACATTCCAGAAAAAGCTGTGTGAAGTGACAGCTCAAGTAGCAGGACACTGGAGTGACCTGGATAAGGAACTGTTGGTTTCTGCTGGCACAGGGGTGCCCATGGGAAGTCTGCTTGATGGTTCACAATGTTCTGCTGCCTGGGAGAAGAAGACGTGTTAAACTTGCTGGTTCCTGTAGCTCACCAAGTGATTCCACAGCGCTAGCCATCCTGTTGGATTTGTCCTCTGCTTTCAAGGCATGTCACTTGTGAGGGACCAATGGCACTGCTTTTGAAACACAGGCACAGCGGGCAAACTGCCTGCAGAGGGAACCGTGTTTCACATTGCTGCTTGGAGCCATGGACCACAAGACTCAGAAGTACCTTCTCTACCACCAACAACCATGAGAGTCTCAGGCCTCCTCTTTCACATCTCTGGAGACCTTCAAGAACTTTGCTGCGTGGTACGTGGGGCATCACCCTTCACTGTGCCACAGCTGCCTCTCTGTGCCCCCTGGGAGGACTCTGGGGGAGCCAAAGCAAAGCCCTTCATCAGCAGTGAGTGCTCAGCTGAGCACAGGCTCCAGGCTGCCCCAGCAGCTGCTGTGCTTGGTGAATGCTGCTGATGGCACTGAGCGCTCTGTGTGTTCTGGCACACCCAGCTGTGGGATAGCCATGGACACTCTTGCCTCAGGACTGTGGCCAACTGCTGAGTTTGCAAAGGAAGGGTGCTGGAGCCAAGGACCTGCTTACACAGGGAGCTTTCCAGCCCACTGGGCTGTGCAGGGGATTTGAGGAGGAGCAGCTTGTCAGCTCATGGTGAGGAACAGCTTTGCCTGGTCCGGTCAGGGTCTCCTGTGGACCTGGCAGCTGCATTGCCAGCTCACAAGGGACTGCCTGGATTTCAGGCCCATCTTGGGCAGAGCTGCTGACTACTTGGTTATTCTGTTGCAGCCAGTGGTTGCCTAGAACCCGTAATTCCTGTGACCCAGTGGCTGCTACCAGCGTAGTGATCTTGAGGCTGCTTGTTGCTGATTGTGTAAGCATCTGTTCTTTTGCTGGGAACGGTCCATGTAATGCAGGATTGAGGAGCTTCTGCTGCAAAACTGTGCCCAAACACTTCCAAGGGGAACTGGCTCTGCGCAGGGCTGTCCAACTGGAGAGGGTAGAGGGTCAGAAGTCATCGTTGGGGCAGGCAATGCCTTGACAGCTCTTTGCTGGTGTTGGGATGAGAGTAAAGAACAAGGCACAGCTTTCCTCGAAACCTGGACACATGGAGCTTTGTGGCAGGAGAATCTTGCTTTCTGAGTCCTAAATCACTGGTCTGTGGGGCAATCATGTTTGCTTTTGATTCTGCTGCAGCAGAACTTCTGCTCATGCGCCATAGCTTGTCTTTTCCAGTCAAGCTATGGATGTTTCCTACCTGGACCTGCTGCCCATCCACTTAAGGCTGTCAGGGTGAGTTCTTGGACCCTGAGACTGCTGCAGAACCTATGGCTGAATGCTCAGCTGCAGATTAGGGAGCTTTCTCCAGCTGGAACTTGCCTGTTTCCTGCTGTTGGTGGCCAGCAAGTAGAGCCTGCTGAGCTCCAGTTGCACAGGAGCTGTCCTGCATTTCCTCAGGACAGAGGAAATCTGCACAGTGCACGGTCTCTGTGTTGGACCTCTGGGAATCTGGGTCTTTCCTGAAGAGCCTGTGTGTGTGTAGGAGGTGCAAATGGACCCGCCACTGCCTTTGGGTGCTGAGACCTGCTGCCTTCCTTGCAGGTGTCTCCTCCATGCATGGCCCACGGTTAGTCAGTGCTGTAGATGTTTTTGCAGCCATGTGGGTAAGCAGGGCTCACTGGAGGCTGGGATGAAGGTGCTCCATTAGCTCATAGGCCTTTGAGATGGGTGCAGGTTCTCTGCAGAGCAAATGAGCTGGAATTCTCATCCAAGAGAGGGTGACGCTGTCACCACCTGAGACTGTCTGCCACATGCGCCTCTTACCTGTAGGTGATCCCTTCTTTACTTAGGGGAATGGACTGCATCCCTAGGGCTGGGGCAAAGCTGTCTCTCTCCTTTCTGGGATATCTCATAATGCTACTGCCAGCTCTCCCACCTTCTTCCTGGGGATCTCGAAGCACTTTGCCAAGATATTTGTAGCAGGGATATGGAGGCACAGGGAGGGGCCATGGCTCGGTACAGCAAGCCAATAGGCAGAGCTGGGAATAGAGCCCTGGATTCCTCTCTCAACAAGGGGCTGGGATTTCTCCTGACCTGCTGTGATGGGATTGGGGTGGACTGCAAGGGAGCACAAAATGACATGGGAGTAACTTGATTTTGGAGTTCTAGTGTCTTCTGAGCTGCTAGGGCTAGAGATTGTGAAAACATTAACTGTTCCTGAAGTGGCCAGGAGCAGTTTCTGGGGAGCCTGTCCCTGCTCTCTGGCTGCTGGTACCTCCAGTCCCAGCAGTGGGACACGTTGGCCCAGGAGCTCTTGAACTCAAGACCTGTTGCTTTCTCTTACAGGTCAGACTTCAGATCCAAAACCAGCTGTCCCTTCCCCACAGAAGACAGAGACTAACATGGTAAGGCCCATTGGAGGTCTGACTTTGCAAGATGGCACAAAGAGAGAGGACAGTTCTGCCATTGCTCAGGGAGATTTTGTTCTTCTACAATCAATGAATTTTAGGATATCTGGATAGTGGGAGCTGATAAGAGCTCCTGGGGAGGGCAGTATCAGCATAACTCCTGCAAGGGGGAAGAATAACCATTCCCCAGGAGTCGATGATGAACTCCAGAATAACCTGACACTGTGGCACTGGCTCCTCTCTGCATGGTGCTTTTCTGTGCCTGGGTATAGTCACTGTCCACTGTTCCCCTCTGCCCCGTGGGACAGGAGCCACCAGTGCCAGGCTCCTGGCACAGCAGGGACACCACACAGGTTTGCTGCCTACCAGGAGCAGCTTGGCAGTCCTTCGTCCAGGCCTGACCATGGGAGCATCCACATGTGTGTTGGGGAGGTGCTTTGGGAGTCACTCCAGCTGTAGTAGGGAAGAAGTTGTGCTGCCTTAGGTGAACATCAACCTCCTGCTTTCTGCATTTCCTCAGCTGTCAGCAAAGGCCTCCTCAGCCCAAACGTCTTCAGCTGCACCGCCTCCTGCCCCACCTGTGGTTCCAGCCACCCCTCGGAAAAACAAAGCTGCCATGTGTAAACCACTGATGCAGAACAGGGGCATTTCCTGCAAGTTAGAAATGAAGTCCAAAGGATGTCAGACAGGTAGGAAAACGAGACATAACTGCAGGATTACAGGGGCATTTTGGAAAGGCAAGGGGCACATCCCTGCTCCAGACTGTGAATCCAGCTTGAAATGTGTTTGGCACTGTGCTGAGGAGTCCTTGGGTACATGTGGCAGGGCTGGAGGTAGGGAGCCCATTTCCATCAGCAGCAAAAGGAGGGATGCAAAGAGCACTGTAGCATGATCCCACCTCTTGTGGGACAACTCCTGTTGCTCTGGAGATTGTCAGCTTGTCCAAGGGCTGTCTGCTGAGCACATTCCAGTCTGTAGCTCCTGTTGGGCATGTGTGTGTGGTCTCCAGCATGTGCAAGGCAACTGGACCTCTTGACAGGGTTACAGAAAAACAGGACTTGCACTTCTGGCTAAGGCAAGCCCCTCGTGTTGCCAGGCTTGACTTGCTGCTGCTCCAGCTCCGTGCACAAATCATAGAAGCTGGTGGCTGGAAGGGCTGCGGTGCTGGATGGCTGGGGGCATGTCAGTGCAGGGCTGGGTGGAGGAGCCTCTGGGATCAAGCTCACTGATGTACTTTTGCTCTTGTCAGAGGCTGACTGGAAGCCCCAGGTGGTTGTGTTGCCAATCCCCGTCCCGATCTTCGTGCCTGTGCCTATGCATATGTACTGCCAGAAAGTACCTGTGCCTTTCTCCATGCCTGTCCCGGTAAGCAACGCACTTCACCTGCTCCTGTTCTCCTACTATTTTGATCCTGCCTTGCTGCAGCCTCCCTGCTTCTCTGTTCATCCTCTGCTCCTGCCTCTGCTTTTGTGTCAATCTGCTGAGTGTCGGTTTTCTGCTTGGTGTGCTGCTGTCTACAGGTGCCTGTGCCAATGTTCCTGCCCACCACCCTGGAGAGCACAGAGAAGATTGTGGAGACCATTGAGGAACTGAAGGTGAAGATCCCCTCCAACCCCCTGGAAGCTGACATCCTGGCCATGGCTGAGATGATTGCAGAGGCTGAGGAACTAGACAAGGCCTCCTCGGACCTGTGCGGTAGGTTCTGCCACGGCTTGGTCCGGCCCAGCAGCTGGGATCAAGGGGGGTTTGCTGGCTCTTGGAGCTAGAACACCTGCCTGCATTGCAGCTCTCCAAAGCCTCCAAAAAAAGGGAGCAGGGAATAACAATTCCTCAACTTCTGCTGAGGAGTTACCAAAAGGGAAGAGCTGCAGCAGGGAGCACTGTCTGCCACTTTTGGGGGTGCCAGTCTCGTGGCACTATTAGTTTATTCAGGTGGCTGTTCAGGCTCTTCCCTAAAGCAGCTTACTCGCTAGAAAACTAGCAGAGCTGACCTCACAGATGTTTTTTACTTGGGGACTGAATTCCTCAAACCCCAGTGATGAGGGTTGTGGCTGGGGAGATGACAAACATCCAGTGTCTTGCTGGGCAGTGCAGGTGTCATGGGGCTGCTCTGAGCACAGGACTGTGCTGCACACAGCGAGCCCAACTTCATTTCCCAGCTGTCACTGGGAACACAGACAAAACTCCGTCAGGGAAGTTGGGTTTATGAACTGCTTTTGCCTTGCAGACCTGGTGAGTAACCAGAGTGCAGAGGGTCTCCTGGAGGACTGTGACCTGTTCGGGCCAGCACGGGACGATGTGTTGGCTATGGCTGTCAAGATGGCAAATGTCCTCGATGAGCCGGGCCAGGACCTGGAGGCTGATTTCCCTAAGAGTAAGAGCTGGGGGAAGCAGCTGTGCAGGGCTGCTTGTGCTGCAGCAGGGTCCTCCCACTGCCCTCAGACAACTGTTGCCAGCAGCTCTAAGAGTTGTGTGAATTTACCTCCCCGTGCCCTCTGACTGACCAGGCCTGGGGCCTGGGGCTGAGCCTTGCAGATAACTGCTTGCAGCAGGGGGGAGGAGACCACCACAGGTGGAAGAGGAGGCAGGGACTTGCAGGAGCACAGCAGTGCTGAGCAGGGTGGTAGCAGCAAAGGATAGAACTGAGGTGCCTGTGCCAGGCTGTCCACAGTACTGGCCTGGTACAAGGGCATGAGGACTGTTCCTCAGGATTAAAAAACAAGCAAACAAAAAACTGTCAGAGGGGAAAATGTGGGGCTCTGGTTATTCTGAGAGAGCTTAGCATCATCTGCCAGAACCGTATTTCTTTTGTTGTGCTGTGACTTCAAGTTCACGCCGGGCAGTGGTGGAGGGTGTGAAGTGTTCTTTCTTCATCTTGCTGTGAAACACTTGCCAGCGCAGGGGACGGGATGAGAAATCTCAGCTGAGCCCTTCTGTCTGTCTTTCCTTTCAGACCCTCTAGACATCAACCCCAGCGTGGACTTCCTCTTTGACTGTGGGCTGGTGGGACCAGAGGATGTGTCCACAGAACAAGATCTGCCTCGAGCTGTCCGAAAGGTGAGCTCTCTGTGGGTACCGCTTGCTTAAAGCTCTTTGAGCTTGGATCTGCCATCTGGGATGTAGGAGGTGAAATGTCCAGAGGCTTTGGTGTGCTGGGGAGGTTGTGCCCTCTCCCCTCACAACATGCCTGGCCTGTGGGCCACTCCTTGAATGGAAATACTTCGGAGGAGCTTTAAATGCTCCAGGTCATGTGAGAGCTGGTGTCGTTCCTGTGGCTGTCATAACTAATGGGCCTTGTTGGCTTGGCTGTTAGCTGAAGGGTATCTGCTGGCGTGGGCACAGGCACACTGAGAGTCACACACTGCAGTCAGCAGGCCTGAGGGGGCCAGAACTCTTGCAGCTGTCCCAGGTAGGTGCCCGGTCTCACAGTACACCTCTCTGCAGGGGCAGAAGCGCCTGGTGCTCTCTGAAAGCTGTTCCCGGGACTCCATGAGCAGCCAGCCCAGCTGTACAGTCCTGAACTACTCATATGGTGTCAATGCCTGGAAGTCCTGGGTGCAAGCCAAGTACGCAGGGGGAGAGAGCAGCAAGGGAGAGGAGCTGCGCTTTGGCCGTAAGTGCCTCGTGTGGATGCAGTGGAGTGGCAGAGACGTCCCAGGAGCTGGATCTCAGGGTGCTGAGGTGCTCCTGACCTTGCAGGCTGTTGTCTGAGGCTGCTGTGCTTGTCTCCGCAGCCAAGCCCATGAGGATCAAGGAGGACATCTTAGCCTGCTCAGCAGCTGAGCTCAACTACGGCCTGGCCCAGTTTGTGAAGGAGATAACACGGCCCAATGGGGAGCGCTATGAACCTGACAGCATCTATTACCTCTGCCTTGGCATCCAGCAGGTGAGGGAGGCCTTGCTGCCCTCCAGTCCTCCACAGCCAGACTTGGGGGTCAGAACTGGTAAGGGCAGCTTTTACCCTTCATTCTGCTTCCTGGGGACCCAGAGAGGCTCACTGGACTCACCTTCATTGCCTCGCCCCAGGACAGCAGCCCACCTGGTTTGGCCTTTGTTTCCAAGCCTGGAGTGTAGGGTGGCAACTATTCCCCAGCCTTACACCCTTCTTGCACGTCCTTGGGGAGGGCTGGGAGATCTCCCCAGACTCATTCCCTTCTTCACTGCCAAGTCTGTTTCGTCATGCCCCAAGGTTTTCCTTGCAGCTCTGGTGACACAAGGAGGGGTGCTCTGCATGTGTGCCCTGGGCTCTCTGGGGAGGGTTTGCATTCCAGGTGCTGCTGTGTTTCTCTTGACTGTGTGTTCTGTCCTTTCTAGTACCTGCTCGAGAACAATCGTATGGTGAATATATTTACAGACCTTTACTACCTGACCTTCGTGCAGGAGCTGAACAAGTCCCTGAGTGGTTGGCAACCCACAGTCTTACCAAATAGTACGTGCCTTCTGAGTACTTTCAGTCACCACACATACCCAGTTTGTGCTCCTAGCCTGGGATCCTCTGGTCTGATTGTGCTCCCCCAGCCTCAACCCTCTTTCTTGGCATAGGCAGCTGTGTCTTGGGGTCAGGCTGACCCAAACTGACAGCAGGACCAGTCTGGTTTACGCCTCAGCAGCTTCTGTAGCCCACAGTCAGAGCAGCTGGGAGCAGAGCACATGTGCTTTCTTTCCTGGGACAGTTTGAATCTTTGCAGCACTTCACAGTGATGTCTCCACCCTTTGGCAAAGAGGATGCCAACCCAGGGGGCACACTGGCACATGTCTTTGTGTTCCCAGCACATGGGCAAGCCCTGCACACTGTGCTGAGCCTTAGCCAAGGTTACTCTGCTGCTGCTTTGTGAATGGACTTAACTTAGAGCTCTGCAGAGGCTTTTCATGATGCTGTGATCTGAGCTGCCTTCCCTGCTGTGTCTTGTCAGTCAAAGATCCAGCCTCACCTCTGCATATTGACTGTCCCAGGCAATGGTATTTGGCTCCAGACCTGTGTGTTTAGGCAGGAGCTGGCTGTGTTTCCCCTGCCTGCTGCTTTTCCTTCATCTCTCACTGAGTGTGGTGGAGCACTGACCTGGAGATCACCTTGTGGCCATCTATAGTGATGGGCAATTAGGATTAATTTCGGTTCTTGTCTGTGGTTTGGCTGTGATCTGGGGTGGCTTGTGGCAGAGCCAGCATCTAGTTCTGCTGATGGCTCTGGAGAAGTACCTTATGGGAAAAAAAAGGTGTTGTGAAGTGTCAGCCTTTCACAGTGAGATTTTCTGGGCAGGGCGAAGGAATTGCCACAAGGCCGCTGTTGACCTGACCTGGTTCTCCCTCTGTGTGTTGCAGACACTGTTTTCTCCCGTGTCGAGGAGGAGCACCTCTGGGAGTGCAAACAGCTGGGTGTTTACTCACCCTTTGTGCTGCTCAACACCCTCATGTTCTTCAACACTAAGTTCTTCGGGCTGCAGACGGCGGAGGAGCACATGCAGCTCTCCTTCACCAACGTGGTGCGCCAGTCCCGCAAGTGCACCACTGCCCGCGGCGTGACAAAGGTGGTGAGCATCCGCTACTACGCTCCCGCCAAGCAGAAGAAAAGCCGAGGTAGGGTCTGAGGGAACGTCTCTGTCCCTCCCCCTGCTTCCCCTGTTGGGATGCAGCCACGATCCAGCTCTCTTCCCCCCCTGCAGATGGTGGCTCTGGAAAGCGGAAGCGTGAGGAGGAGGTACCGATGTTGGAGCAGCGGGAGAACAGGATGAACCCCCTCCGATGCCCAGTCAAGTTCTATGAGTTCTATCTCTCCAAATGGTGAGGCTTTCTCTGGAGAATGGGCATGTGCCATTTTGGGGCCACCACTCAGTTTTAGTGGGACCATGTGGAGTGACTGCTGCTCTCCTCTAACATTTGTACATGAGCCTGAAGCACAAGGTCTGTGCTGCATGTGTAGACCATGGCTGAGACAATGCTTCTCTCTGGCCTCTTCCACTTCTTGCCTCTCTCCACACTGGCAGGAGTGTGCCATATGAGTCCAGATGCTTGGGTGCTTAGGGGTTTTGGTCCTGAGCAAGGAGCTGCAGACTCAGTTTGTGTCCTCATCCTGCTAGGCTGTGACAAGCCTTGAGCCCCCCTTGCTAACCATGACAGCAGGCCAGGCTGGCTGAACCCCTGAAGGTGAGACCCCTCAGGTCTGACCTCGCTCTCTGTTTGCAGCCCCGAGAGCCTGCGGAACCGCAACGACGTGTTCTACCTGCAGCCCGAGCGGTCGTGCATCGCCGAGTCCCCACTGTGGTACTCGGTGATCCCCATGGACCGGAGCATGATGGAGAGCATGCTGAACCGCATCCTGGCCGTCAGGGAGATCTACGAGGAGCACAGTCGGCTCAGCAGCCTGGAGGATGACATGGACTAAGAGCGAGGTGCTGCTGGGCTGGCCGCGCTCCAGCCCTGGACACCCCATCTTCCTGCCTCCCGCTGCAGGGCAGGGGCCGTGCAGCACGGGAGGGGATGGTGCTGCAGCAGTGCTGTCCCTTCATCATTACCAGACTTGGACATCCCATCCTGCTCGTTACAGGCCTCCCTTACATACGTGGCCCCCATGCTCAGCTCTGCCGCCTCCTTTTGGCTGCCGGGTGAACCATCTTTCCCAGGGCCAGTTCCCATGGCACAGGGGTGGCAGAGTCCCTGGGGCACCTCCCCTCACCCTTGTCCCCTCCTACCCCCAGCCCTGCCACTCTCCCGCTCTTCCCCTGCCCCAGGGCAGGAGTCGCACAAGTTGGCAGTGCCCCATCAGACCAGTGGCCCCAAAGCTTTTACCTCCCTCTTCCTTCATCATTCCCTCATGAGGCTGCAGGTGGTATGGCAGGAACAGTAGCTCTGCTGCTGGGCTAGGATTGTGGTTTCAAGCCAGTGGGGATGGATCACAGGCTACCTGAGAGCTGTTGGGTCAGGGAGAGGGCTTTTTCCCAGGTGGGGGAGAGGTTTGGGTTGGCTTCAGAGGGTGGAGGAAGCTGGCACTGGAACATGGGGGCAGAGATCTGGCCTTGCCATGGGACACGTCCCTCACGTGCAGCTGGGATGTCTCTCTCAATTTGGTCAGTTTTTCCTGAGATGTCTGAAAACTGATGGAGATGGGTCTGGGCCAGTGCTGCCCCTCTTTCCCTGCTGTCCCCTGTCCTGATGTAAGCCCCCTCTCCCCTGCAAGGTGCCCTCAGTGGGAACCTCTGCTCCAGCCAGGGGCTTGGGCAGCTGCTGGCAGAAACAGGGAGCCCTGCCTGGTCTCCCCCTCCCTTCCAAAGCAGCAGGCTGCCACCGCCCTGCCCAGGGCAAGTCTGGCTCCAGCTGTGCCACTCCCTGCTGCCTCCTGCCCCTCCTCGTGTTCTGGTCAGTCTTCTTGAGCTGTACATGGGTCTCCTGTTGAGCCTGTATATATTGTTCTGGGCCCTGGCCCGGGGCCATCTGTTCTCTGTGTCCATGTGGAGAGTGAGCCGCTCACCAGTCTTGTTGTAGTGATGCCAGGGCGGTAGGAACTAACCCTGTGTCTCTGGAAACCATTCATTTCAAATAAAGATGTGGAAAACCTTTGGCAGCCCCTGGTTTCCCACCCTGGGCAGGGTGAGCATTGCAGGAGAGCAGAGCCAGTGTCCCTTTGCTGCTGTGCACCGCACTCCTGTCCATCCCTGCCTGCACTGCCTGCACTTCGTGCCTTGCCTGCTTGGGCGTGCTGGGATGGCCCCTGACCCAGTGCCCACTGGTGCCAGCCTGGCATGCCCTGCCTGTCCCTGCCCTGCTTCACCTGCCCTGTCACCTGCCCACAGGGCAGCAACCCAACCCAACCCCACAGTGGCCGTGCCCTGGCCACGCAGTGTGTCTGTAGGATGGAGCAGTCAGAGAGCAGTGCCATGTGGGCAGAGCACGAGTCAAGGGAGGTGCAGTGAGTGTTTATTTGCTCCCCCCTCCCAGCTTTGCTCTCAGCCCTACTGCTCCCAGGAGTTCTGGGAGCAGCTGAGCCGTGTGCCCAGGGCCATGCCCAACTCCTGTGCTGGCCATGGGATCCATGCCACGGGCCTGGCAGGGCCTGGAGACTGAACCACCGCTGTGGCCACTGGTACATCCCCCGTCCCTGACCATCCCAGCAGGCCACGTTCACACCGCCAGGTCTGCCGCTCGCATCTCCCCGTGGGACCCACCAGCCACCCCTAGCCACGCTCCCGCCTTCTTCAGGGGTGCCAGGCCGTGGGGGGATTTGCCAGCGACCAGGGGGCTGCCCACCCTGGGCAGGGTGACGTGGGCACTGCGGGGCCCCAAAGGGCCACTGGGAGTGGTTATGATGTGGGACTTGGGGCCTGGCCCCTGCCGGCACTTGGTGAGACCCAGGTAGTAGATCTCCACCAGGTTGAGCAGCAGGGACACGCAGGCCACCCCCAGCATGAAGAGGATGAAGATGGTCTTCTCAGTGGGCCGGGAGATGTAGCAGTTGACAGTGTTGGGGCAGGGCCAGCGGCTGCAGGTATAGAGGGGCTTCAGCTGGAACCCGTACAAGGCGTACTGGCCCACAATGAAGGCCACTTCCAAGAGAGCCTTGAAGACAACGTTGCAGATGTACGTCCTCAGGATGGCCCCCCGCATGCAGACCTGTCCCCGCGTGTCCCCCGCAGGGAGCTGGGGCTGCCTGGGGCGCGGCCGCCTGGCCCCGCTGCCGGCCCGCGCTGCCACTTGCTGCTGCGCCTTCTCCTCCAGGTGCACCAGGTGCAGGATGTGGCCCAGATACACAAGGCTGGGGGTGGAGACGAAGATGATCTGCAGGACCCAGAAGCGGAGGTGGGAGATGGGGAAGGTGCTGTCATAGCAGGCGTTCTGGCAGCCGGGCTGCTGCGTGTCGCAGGAGAAGCCTGACAGCTCGTCACCCCAGACCCGCTCGGCGGCTGCCCCCAGCACCAGGATGCGGAAGACGAAGAGGACGGTGAGCCAGACCTTCCCCACCACTGTGGAGTGCTCCTGGGCATTCTCCAGCAGCCGCCCCAGCAGGCTCCAGTCCCCCATGGCACGCACTGCCCTGCAAGACAGCCGCCCTCCAGACACAGCCGCCCCACAACCCACCACACCCCCACCATCCCCCGGATGGGCAGGAGTGCACAGACCCACCCCACGGCTGTCCCTACAGTGTCCCCATCCCAAGGGACCCCCTCACCCGTCACAAGGAGGGCAAGGGGAGCAAAGGCCTCCAGCAGAAATCTGGGAGCACCATGGGGAGCACCCGCGGTGGTGACCCCTGGGGACTCCTCACCGTAGGTGGGTGCGTGGGGCAGAGCCCAGTGCTCCCGCGCTGTCGGCTCCTGGGATGGAGGATGCTGTGAGGCCCCTTCCCAGCTGCTCCCCAGCTCCTCCGTGGGTGTGGACAGGTCTGCCTGGCTCCCTCTGTCCACTCACCCAACGGCGGGCGTGGGGTTATTGGGGCACGAGGCAGCTGCGTGCCCCATTGGCTTTCACTGTGACTGGCACATGGAGCAGCCACTGGAGAAACCTTTTCCCTCTATTTTTGGTCTGGGTACTTTTCTAAATATATTCGGGGCTGCAGGGGCTGATGCTGGGGGAGCGTAAGCCCTTGGACAGTGATCAATGCCACCCAGGGGTCACTGGTCCTGCAAGCTATCTGCCAGGGCACCACAGCCCCAGCTCAGCCCAGGCACTGCAGCCTCCACAGCCCCTGGTGCCACCAACCAGGGCTTGGGTGCAGGAGCGGGCACCCCACACTGGCACCCCAGCTCCCGGCATGCCCCGGCCAGAGCAGAAATGAGGGAGGCAGCACCTGAGAATGGAGATTTAATGGCCCAAGGTGCTCTCCTGGCCATCTAGGAGAGCCTGAGTGGCGCCTGAGGAATGCTATCCTTGGGACAGGGACAGCAACAAAGCCGTGGGACGACTGTGGGGCAGGGTCCCCCACAGTGCTGGCCCTAGCAGGCAGAGCAGCGGTCACCCTTCTCCTGCAGCCCAGAGTTGCGGCGCAGCATGTCCTTGAGGGAACCGTCCTGCTCTGTCAGCAGCTGGTTGATCTCATTCTGCTTGTACTCGGAGGAATGCTTGTGCCCATAGAAGGAGCTCTTCCCCGACGAGGGGTTGGAGTTGTGCCGGCCCCGGCGGGCACAGGCCCGCACCACCAGGTAGACCAGCTCTGCCATGTTGAGGACGATGCAGATGCTGGAGGTGACCAGCATGAAGACGGTGAAGATGGTCTTCTCCGTGGGCCGGGAGATGAAGCAGTCAACAGTGTTGGGGCAGGGGTAAGCCTCGCACTTGACCAGCCGCATCATCTGGTAGCCCGGGTAGAGCATGTAGAAGATGTACATGAACACGGCCTCGAAGAGCAGCCTGAAGACCACGCTGCAGACGTACGTCCACCACAGCGAACCCGAGATGCGCATCTTGTGCTTCTTCACCTCTTCCATGTGCTTGGCGTCCCCGTGCCCCGTCAGCATCAGCAGCTTCTTCTCCTGGTGCTGCTGGTAGGCCACGTGCATGGCTACGAGAAGGGCCGGCGTGGTGACGAGGATGAGCTGCAGGGCCCACAGACGGATGTGGGAGATGGGGAAGAAGTGGTCGTAGCAGACGCTGTTGCAGCCAGGCTGCTGGGTGTTGCAGGTGAAGGCGGCTTTCTCATCCCCCCAGACACTCTCAGCTGCCACCACCAGCACCATTATCCGGAAGATGAAGATGACGGAGAGCCAGATGCGGCCGATGGCGGTGGAGTGGCGGTTCACCCCGCTCAGGACCGTGTAGAGCCCGGCCCAGTTCATCGTTTCTCACGTCTGCAGGAGAGAGCGTGAGAGACGGTGTTAGGAGCAGGAAGGGCCCCTGGCTGAGAGCCACCATGTGCTGGCCCTGGTGGCAGCAGCCCTGGGATCAACTGGCTGTCACAGCCCTGGCAGGTGGACAGCAGGAGGGCCAGACAGCAGGATGGCAGAGTGGCTCCTGCTGCTGACAGGGCTCAAGGCAGCATTTTGGCCAGAGCAGGCAGGAGACCGGCTGGCCCTGCAGTGCCAGCTGCTCCTGCCCTGCCACCCCACACTGGCAGGGGGATCCTAACCTAACAGCTGCCACAGAGGATGGGGGTGAAGCCCCCACACCTCCACGGGGACCCCCAGTCCACACCCAGTGCTGCGTTCTTTGGCTAGGAATGGACCCAAGGAGCTCCAGGGACTCCTCTGCACCAGCACATCCCTTCTCTTGTCGCCCCATTCCCTGTGGGAGCAGGGCCAGAGAACCCTAAGCTGGGGGGCACCCCTGTGAAGCCACGCATTGTCACCCTCCCAAACCACCCTGCCTGGGGAGCATGAAGTGACCCCCCACTCCAAGCGCAGACCCCCAGCCCCACCAGAACCACCCCTGGCACTGAGCAGCCCCGGGAGCTGCTTCCCACCCCGACATGAGGCTGTGGGGCTGGAACCTGCCCTCCAGCCACCCCCGGTGTGGAGAGTCGTGGCGACGCGTACCTGCCGGTGAGAAAGGGTCCTCGCAAGCTGCCCCCAGTGGCCCCTCTAAGGTCTCATGCCTCCCGCAGGAGAGCTCTGCTCCGCCTGCCCTCGTCTCTCTCTGCCACTGCCCTGCACTGGAAGTCATATGCTGCTTTATAAACTATTTACATACAATGGGGCCTTTATCGGCCCCTGAACAACACACTTTAGCATTCAGACCTAACGCCCTGACTTCCGCCCACCCTGGCCCAACAAAGTGCCTGTGTGCTGCATTCCCGCTGCTCGGCCCCGCACCCACTCCCACCTCCCCGCCACACCCTGACCACGGCCACAGCACCCCCCTGGCCGGCGTGGGGTGCCCACGGCTCTGCCCGGCGGGACCCACAGCCCAGACATCGCTGTGCTGGACTGGCGACCCTGGAGGTCCCTTCCCTTCCCTGGGATGCATGGCAGAGCCCAGCCACGTGCCCATCCCGCATGGACAGCACAGGGCACTGCGGCTGGAGCAGGGGTCTGGCACCGAGCACCCCGTGGGCACCCGTGGGGCTGGGTGCTGCTGGTGTGAGTCCTGCAGTGCCCTCAAGGCTCTGCTGCCAAGGGGTTGGTGCTGACAGCAGCGGCTGTGAGGGCACTGGAGCTGCCCTGCATGTGCCCCGTCCTGCTGGGGACATGGGAAAGAGCCTGCTGGAGTGACGCGGGCTGTGTGCTGGTTGGGGTTGCCCTCGTTGCTGAACACTGTGGGGGCTGTGCTTCTCTCCCAGGATGGGCCCACTGACACTGTTCTACTGCTTGGACATGCCGGTGGGGGGAACAGTCCCTGTGCTCACACCCCACCCCGTGCCCCTCAGGGCTGGTATCCCAGCCACACCACCACACTGTGCCTTGTTCCTGCAGAAATGGCGCCATGTCCCTTGGGGTTTGTTGCCAAGGTGTGCAGCAGCACATGCAGTAAACCCTGCCAGCTGGGAGGGCAACCAAGGCCCACAGTCTGCCCCTCGCCCAGCTCCCCCCATGGGGGCCACCACCACCAGCTCTGCCCTCCCTGGCCCGTGGCCGAGCCCCTCTGTGAGTCCCCACCCTGGTCCCCGTGGTGCTGCCCAGTTGGGGGACATGTGCCCTCTTCCCCCCCTCTCACCTCAGCACCAGGAGAAGCAAAGCTCTTGGGGACTGCAGCAGCCTCAGGCTCCAACGAAACGCTGGACTTTATACTGCCCTTCAGCACTTCACCCACCCCCTCCCAAACAACTTTGCTTTCCAGGACTTGCTCTACCTGGCCCTGCAAAGTAAACATTTGCAGGTGCGTCCAGCCTGGACTCACACCCACCAGCACCAACACAGCTGAGCATCCCCCGGGGACAGCCCGGGGGCCACTGCAGCACCGAGGCAGGGCCAGCCCCCCAGGATGGTCCCGTGGGAGCTCTCTGGTCCTCGTGGCCACACTCTCCCCTCTTCAGGCATCCTCCCTGCCACATTCCCCGCAAGCCAAGGCACATACACCATGGCAGAGCCCTGCTCTCCATCCCGGGGGACAACTCTGGGTACCCCCAGCTCCCGGGGCAAATTCATCTGCATTTGCAGGGTATCGTGCCACCAATACCCAGATTTAATGTTTACAACTGCAGCCGACAGAGGCAATCAGCCTGTAAACGATTAACCCAGCCGGCCCGTTTCAAGGTCCCGCCGCCCAGCACCCCGCGCGGGACACGGCGACCCTGCCCCTCATGCCGGGCCCCCGGGTGGGCTCCAGGAGCCTGCACCGCACACCATCCCCTGCGGGAGGGTGACAGTGGTGCCGGTGTCCCCCGCACGAGGACGGCAGGGTGGCACCGTGGGGCGGCTGAGGGGAGACAAGGGGTGCCCCCCCAGCGGGGCGGGGGGCGGTGGGCAGTGAGGAACGGGGGGTGAGGGGGGTACGGGGAGGGTGGGGCCGCAATCTCGGCCTCTGATAAAGCGCCGGTGGCTGAGTCAGACAGACCCCGGCGGGGAGCGGGAGCTGCCCTATCTTGCCACCGCCCTGACCCCGGGACACGCCGCGGGACCGGGGAGGGGACCCTCACTGAGGGGGCGTACAAGGGCTGATGGGGGCAGACTTGGGGGGGCACTGTGGACGAGGGGCAAGTGGGGCCAGGCTGGGGGGATCAGGCCGGGTGGGGAGCACTGAGGGGTCTCGAAGGAGACATATTAGTGGGCACTGGAAGATTTATGGGACGGATTAAGCGGGACGAAGCACAAGGGGGTGTCCGGGAGGCAGGATGGGGCGGGGGTGTGGCACTGGGAGCCAGGCTATGGGTCACTGCGAGCCTCCTGGAGGCTACTGGAAGCCAAGCTGGGGAGCAGTGGTGGCACTGGGAGCCAGGCGAGGGTCACTGGGGGGTCCGGGCGGTGCGGGAGGGGGGTGGTCGCCGGCGGTGGCACCAGGTGGCGCTGCGGGGCCGGGCCGGGCCGGGCCGGGGGCGAAGGGGCCGCACCTGCCCGCGGCAGCACCCGGCGGGGCTCAGCGTGGGAATCCGTCTGAAAACGTAATAAAAATAGAGAAAGAAAACAGAAAAGAGGGAGGAGGAGCCCGGGGCGTTGCTGTCCAGCCCGGTGCCCGCCCGCTGTCCTGGCCGGGAGTTGGTGGGAGGACCAGGGGCCCCAGGGATGGGCGGGGGCACGGGCAGCCCCCTCGGCTTGCCCGTGGTTTGCCGTAGGTAAAGCTGTTGTGCAAGAGCCAGCGCTCAGGAACAGGCTGTACTAAGTAGCCGTGGCCGGCGCTGCCTCCAGTACACAGAAAACTACCCCATCCACGACCACGCGGACCAGAAACGCTCTCTTTGTTAGTGACGTTAATTGTGAACATAATTAGGCGTCTGAAGTTGCAGCGAAGAGGTCAAAGACGTGGGCACATCGAACACAGACGAGCTGATGAGATGGGCAGGACTGAGCCAACATCCGGATGGCAGGACCGGGGTGACGCAGACGCTGGCACACTGCTGGGGTCAGAGATCTTGCAGCCCAGCAGTGTGCATTGGTATGATGGAGGAAATCAAGCTCAGCCATCGCTGAAACACCTCTGCTGTCAGGAGGAAAAGCGCAGGCTTTCGGAGCCCCCTCTCCCCGGCCATCCTGCCCCAGGAAGGGTTGGCCCTATGAATAGCTCAGCCTCATCGCTGGGTGACCACTGCAGTGCAGAGGCCTCTGGGCTTCCAGGCTTGGACTGACAGCAGCACAGGCATCCCTGGATCCAGGCTGCTGCTCTCGGAGAGACAAACCCCTCTGGTCTGAGTCAACTGCCAGGAAGGTCACTGGCAGTGGGTGAGCACAGAAATCCTTTGTGCTGCTGCAGCACGGGGCAGAGGGGGTTGAAGTACAGACGTAACAGCTTGTCCTGACTGCCTGTGAGTCTGCTGTCCTGTGTCCTGGGTGCATCAGGGGTGAGGGGAACAGGACCA